TTTTTTTTTTTTTTTTTTTTGGGGGTGGAGGAGGGAGGGTGTTACGTATTTTTGGTTAAACCATCTGGCAACCCTACTCTCCTTCCCCCTCCCGTACTTCCTCCTGCAGTGAGGGCTACCTGAGTTGGAGCAAGACCTCCAGCTTGACAGTGTGTCCACATTATTTCAAAATAACCACCTGCCCCGTAGACACAGGCTATGTTATAAATGTTGCTGTCTAGATGTACCCTGCGAGAGAGGGTCCAATTTGCATATGCAGGCCAGTGCCGCAGTCGCTCTCTATAGCTGGTTTCTCAAACAGCTTGGTAGAAGAATGGCTACTTCTAAATCCACTCACGAGTGCCCAGGCAGGTTAGAATGTTCCCCCTGCAGGTTTCCGTGTGGTCCCGTTTCTGAGCTCCGACTTGTGTCCACTTAACCTTTGTGTACGGCTACCCCTCTGAGGCCATGTCTAGATTGCGTTGCTTTTCCAGGGTATCAGAGGTATCCCGGAAAAGCAACACCACAACCACGGAACGCGGACGCTTTTTCAAAAAAATGTTCGAAAAAGTGGAGGCACTCTTTCGCTATCCCTGTAAACATCGTTCTACGAGGCATAAGGTATGTGTGCCCCAAATTTTGGAAAAGCCTCTTTTGAAAGTAAATCAGAAAAAAATACATAGCCTGAAACTTCCCAGCAAGTGTTCTCAATGGCTCACAGCCCTGCTGGAAGAGCATAAGTGGGGTATGTAGAGGCCCACAGGGGTCAGTTCTGGGGTTGCCGGATCTGTTCAATAGCTTCATCAATGATTTCGACAATATCATAGGGAGCACGCTTACAAAGTTTGCAGATGATACCAAGTGGGGAGGGGCTGCAGTTGATTTGGAGGAAAGGGTTATAATTCAGAATGGTCGCAAAAAAACTAGAGAAATGGTCTGAAGTAAGTAAGATGAAGTTCAGTAAGGACAAATGCAAAGTACTCTATTTAGGAAGGCACAACCAGGTGCACACATCTAGAATGAGAAGGGGCCATCTAGGAAGGAGTACTGCAGAAAGGGATTTAGGGTCACAGTGCTCCATAAGCTAAATACAAGTCAACAGAGCAACACTCCTGCAAAAAGAGCAAACCATTCTGGGATGAGTGGCACTGGAACAATTTTTAGGAAGGGAATGCTGAGTTACACACACACACACGCATAAACACCCTTACACCTGTTCATGCCCCTCTGACAGTTGCCAACTCGACCAGACACCATTTGCAGCAATGGCATCCAGTCCGGGAGTGTCAGCAGTCATAGTCCCTCGCTACCCCAGGCTGCAACAATAGCTGGGGGCAGCTGCTTAGCCCCAGGCCAAGGCCAGGAGAAGAGTCCAGGAGCAGCAGAGGGACCCCCAAGTGTGGCAGGTTACGGAGCCTTCAGGAACAGCAGGCAGTGGGACCCCAAGTGCCAGTGAGTCTGCGAGGCTGGCAAGCAGTGGGACCCCAGGGGCAGGTAATGGGGCAAGTGGAACCCGGGACTGGTGAAACTGATGGGTGGTTGACAGTAGTGCTGGCTTCCAGGTGCGGAGAAGCTGGATGCAAAATCTGAAGGTGCTGCAGCATTCCCTGACACCCCTACTTCCCACGCCTATGTCTGGGATGTATTAGCAGGAGTGTTGTAAGCAAGACACGAGGAGTCATTTCTCCATTCTACTAAGTGCTGATTAGGCCTCAATTGGAGTATTATGTCCAGTTCTGGGCACCACATTTGGGTTGCGTCTAGACTAGCCAGTTTTTCCGGAAAATCAGCCGCTTTTCCGGAAAAACTTGCCAGCTGTCTACACTGGCCGCTTGAATTTCCGCAAAAGCACTGACGATGTCATGTAAGATTGTCAGTGTTCTTGCGGAAATACTATGCTGCTCCCGTTCGGGCAAAAGTCCTTTTGCGCAAAAGGGCCAGTGTAGACGGCTCAGATTTGTTTTCCGCAAAAAAGCCCCAATCGCGAAAATGGCAATCGGGGCTTTTTTGCGGAAAAGCGCGTCTAGATTGGCACGGACGCTTTTCCGCAAAAAGTGCTTTTGCGGAAAAGCGTCCGTGCCAATCTAGATGCTCTGTTCCGAAAATGCTTTGAATGGAAAACTTTTCCATGCATGGAAAAGTTTTCCATTCAAAGCATTTTCGGAACAGAGCATCTAGATTGGCACGGACGCTTTTCCGCAAAAAGTGCTTTTGCGGAAAAGCGTCCGTGCCAATCTAGATGCTCTGTTCCGAAAATGCTTTGAATGGAAAACTTTTCCATGAAAAGCATTTCCGGAAAATCATGCCAGTCTAGACGTAGCCTTCAGGAAACATCTGGACAAAATGCAGAGAAGAGCAACAAAAACGATTAAATGTCTAGAAAACATGACCTGAAAGAACTGGGTTTGTTTAGTCTGGAAAAGAGAAGACTGAGCGGAGACCTGGTAGCACTTTTCAAGTATCTAAAAGGCTGTTACAAGGAGGAGGCAGGAGCATAGCTGTGGCCCACCCACTTAGCATCTAGATTTACCCGCCCCCAGTCCTTTCTCTGCTTCTGCCAAGACACAGGGACTTGCCCTGTCCGCTCAGTGCTCCAGCCAGACCAGGGAGTGGAGTCGGGAGCGCGCCTTGCGCCACTCACTCAGCATGCCTGACGGAACACAGTTGGGGGCTTGCAATCCTCAGTCCTATGGCACTTGGGAGGTGCACTTGCCCCTCTGTGCCCAGCCAAAATGTTAATCGCTAAATTGGGTGCTCCTTCCTGTTTCTCTAGGTGGCCCCTCTTGTTGTTGCCATTTCCCATTAGCTAGTTTAGGACAGGTCCCTATCAAGGGGCTGGCTTTTGTGGCACCCCTTCTTAGACACCTGTCTCTCCCCAATCATTATATACGGGGTCTAGGAGCTTAGCTTTGTGGGGCACAATATTTTTCCTATGTAAGCTCAAAAGCTCATCACTTTTGCAAACAGAAGTTGGTCCAATAACACTACTTCACACACCTTTTTCTAATATCATGGGACCAACACAACTACATCAGACACTGCATACAAGTATTGTTCCTGTGATTTTCTAGGGACCTAAAAGTTAGATG